ATATTTAAAACAAAAAATTCAACAAGCTCCCATAAATATTTCGATCTTTTTAACTAGATTTCTTAGAAAGATTTTGAGTACGCAGTTTAATAGCGTATTCACTTTAAGTACAATAAAATGCAAGTCTGAAGTTGCTGGGACTTGCTGTTGTTTTTGGGATTTTTTTTTTTTGTTAACGATGTCAGTCATTTTCTTCCGTGCGAAGTATGTACATATGTTTTGACGATATTTTTTATATGGTGAAAATAACAACAGCTTCAACAAAAAAAATATTCAAACACCAACGGTAAGTCGCAGCTACTTTGAACTTGCACTTTATTATACGAAAATTGAATTGGCTACACAAATACAAATTGGCATTCCTAGAGCCTCTCTAGGAAATCTCATTAAAAAGCTCGAAATTTTTAAATACAGGTGAAGCTAATAAAAGCGTGTAAAAAAATACATTACAATTCCAGTGGCAGACTTTAGCAGCTGAATTTTGTTTTCTCCAGTAGCTAATACTTTTCTAAGTAACATTTTAAAGGCAGCATCCTTACTACTGTTTAACAACTCAAATTTTGTTAAAAAAAAAACTCTTATGTATATATTTCAATTTCACAAAATTTTTTACGTACATTCCATTTAGTTTTTTTTGGATTTCCTTTACTCAAAATACTTTAACTTTTCCTTATGAATCTATGAAAATAAAGACGAAACAAGCATTTACTGTGAAAGGTGTTCGCATCCTAGCGGATCTCTTTAGCCAATTCAATGATGGAAAAGCCCTATCTGGAAACTTTTTTTCGAATTTCGGCCACACTTTCGGATTTCAGCCACACTGTGCGCTGTGATATAATGGTTAGCAGTGCGCGCTACCATTCCGCAGGGTCTATGTTTATAGTTAATATTTCTTTACTTTAACTGATATGAATATCGGCTGTCGGTTAAACATCCTAAGTGTAGGCATGAAAGTATATGGAAATAAGCACTTACATACATACATATGTACATTCACTTGCACTTTTTGCACGATTTACTTTACATAAAAGGCGCATCGTCAGCCAAACCTCAGTTCAGTCTTGGATTATAACTTCTGGAGAGTAGTTACGAGTAAAAATGTTTAAACTCGGTTTTTTATATTTAGTGATATTCACAGGGCTTACATTGGCATCGTCATGTCAACTGAACGTTGAAAGCCCATTGCCTGTGCTTTCAAAGAAATTCGGTTCCAAAAGAATTGTGTTCAATGACATGTACATATGTATGTATATATGTAGATGAATAAAGGGATATAAATATGTACATACATACATAAATATACATATCAGATGCATTTAATAAACATAGGATACATAGTAGGCAGTTTCGGTTTTCGAGTTATTCGAAAGATGTCCATTTTCAAAAAACCGGTTCCACAATTTCCATTTGAGAAAACAACGGATAAACCGGTTTTATTTTACATATTTTCTCTATAAAAACACTTACTGTTAGTCAGAAATCATTACTAAAAATAGATATACTACACACATACATACTTATGTAGCTTTAATTTAGAAATCAATAAGGTAAAATAAGTTCGAAATAGTAGTAATTTTCTGGAAAATTTTCCAGAATGAATTTCTTTTTTTTTGTAATTAAAATTCTTAGATTCTGGTGTATATTTAAATAAACAATGTGAAACTCTGATTTATATGATTTTAAAAATCCGGTTTACTCTATATTCAAAAAGCCGAGATTTCAAAAAATCTGCCTAAAAATAAGCGACGTAACAATAAATAAAACGAATTGTAATTTTTTTTAAGTCGCTGTAAATTTAAAGTTCACAATAGTGTTCTAATTGAATTTTTCGGCTACAATAATTAAAGCATAAGTTGTAAAAAACATTGAATATCCTACGTATTTAATTTATATTTTTCATTTAAATATAATTATATAATTTTAGTACTTTAATGTGCTTAGTTTTAATACTTTAACAAACAAATTTTTTCCAACCATGCTAAGTAAAATAATAATTACTACAAGTTTTTTCCACCTTCAACAAATGTTTTTCTTATGTAATTACACCTAAAAGTCCCGAGTGTGGATGCTTCATCAAAAGTCCCGCTTTTGATACATTAAATCGTGGTTTCATATGATGAAAATTACTTAAATGAACATAAAGGAGTTCAGCAATGCTTTCAATTTGTAGCATGTATAGAGGCTATTCAATCGCTGTGAGTGAACAAGTTTTGTGTATTGATTTATGTACATACACATATGCACTTGTTAGTATTGTTTATTTTTTAGTTTTGTTAAATACAAAGTGTTATGAAAAAAATTTTTTGACTCAAAAAAATTTTATGATTTTAACTAATATGGTTAAACGCTTTTTTTCAAGAGTTTGATGCTTTTTGAAAACCAAATTTTGGCAACACTGACAGAAAGCCTGAAAAGCGCCAAACGCCTGAAAAGCTTTTTCTTTAGTTGTACCTTAACACTAAGCGCCAATCTAATCTTATTATTATTAACTTTTTTATTTTTATTTTAGCATACCTTCCTACTATTCGAGATATGAGGCACGTCTAAATATCCCAAGGTAAATGAAATTAGTCTATATTAAGTAATAAGATTTTTATATTTTATAATCTCTTATGCGGTGCTATCACTGAATCCTTCTTAGTCCGATTTTCGACAAATCTACAATCCAAATTGCTACGAACGTGTGTAGAAATAGTACGGATTTCTAAAAAAAGCGCTTTATTCAAAGACACCAAATCTAAATTTTTTGGGCTATAAAATTACATACCCTAAAAGGTTCTTAAGATTCAGATTCAAAAGTTCGAAATTTTGATGAAAACTTGTTGCATTTTTCTAAAGTTTGTATTCAGTTTGAAAATTTAATTTATATGGATTTGGTTGAAGTGCAAACAACATAAAGCAATTACAAAAAAAAATTTAACTTTTAAAACAAAACATTGTGGATTAAAAAAAAATCAACATGTAGACACTAGAATGAGAGCATCTAAACTATTTTTTTTTTTTTTTAATTTTGCGGTTAGCAGTGCGCGCTACCACTCCGCAGGGCCTGGTTTCAATTCCGGTTCAACGCAACATCAAAAAATAAAAACCAAAAAAAAATTTTTTATTCTAATAACGGTCGCCCCCGGCAAGCCATGGCAAACCTACGAGTGTCGCGTAGTCGGCGTAAAACTGTCCTCTCCCCTGCTTGACAACATCAAGACGCACGCCACAAATCGGAGAAGAATGTAGGCCGAACACTAAGCGCCAACCTATTATTATTATAAATAAAACGCTTAAAACAGAACTGGGTGTCGGAATCTTTATTATTACCCGAAAGAACATATTGACGGGTTTGTTCTGTCTGTGGGCAGCTTTTCCACGAAATTATTATTGAACAGTTAATGTCAGAGATTGCTCCTTTTGGTAACAGTAAAGATACCGACATAAAAGAAAAAAGGTTTAAATGGACTGAATATAGTGAATAAAAATTTAGAAACTAATTTTTGATCGAAGTCATAATTCAGTTGACATGGAAATTCCCATATATGTATGTATATGGGTGTTTCCATAAAAATGCCATGCGAAAATGCAAGGAAATGACTACAAACAGCTTTATAACTCTAAATTTCGTATTCAGATGGCGAAAGAAGGTTTTTAAAACGCTAAACGGTGGAGAGGAGAATCGAAAAAATTAAAATATATATGTATTACAGGTAAAGATATTGTATGGGGGAAATATCGGTCACGTCCGATATCACATTTTAAGTCAAAATTAAACCAACAACGAATCGCTTTTGCTTAAAAATGAATTTTTTGTAATGGTCCGTAATTTTACTCAAGTCCTTTTCATCGATTTTCTCGGCACCAGTGTTCAAAGTGCACTTAATTTTTTTGTCAACCAGAGGATGGTATAAAGGCTACACAGCGGCAATTTTTTTTTTTTATAAGTGTTTTCCCTTTTCGTATAATTTATTTAACTCTAAAGTCGTACGAATGTTACATCAGACATCACGGAAACATTCATATGTGTTTTCCTCAGTAAAAATTTATTTTTTCTCGGAGTTCCCTGCGGAAACGTTTTGCACCAAATTTTACAAAAACATTGCTTTTGTTGGTTTTTCATCATTTGGCTTGCTAGCTTCATACGCGCGCCGCTCAATTTCGGTTGGTCTCATACAAGTTTTATGTGCATGGGAAATTTTTGCCAGTGAATTGGCGGCTTGCGTGTGAATATTAGGATATACGGGTGACAAAAGGCCATTATTTGCATTAACTCATGCATTTCCACTTTCAAATACGCATAAGCCACCGAAAAAATGCACGATATTTTTGGGAATTAACTCGGATCAGGGGAATTTTCGATGACAACAGTGGTGCAAACAAGAAGTTTTTCGTTTTTGTACAAGTAAGCAAACAAAGCAAGCGAATTTGCCGTCCGCAGTAGCCGAGTGGTGAGAGTTGCGAGCTACAAACATTTTTCTCTTTTTATTTATTATTTATTTTATTTGATTTCGCTTTATTTTATATTCATTTACTTTATTTTATATCACATTTTTTACTTTACTATTAGTTTATTTAAATTTTAGAGTTAAATTTTATTAAAAAGTCAACAACAACAACTAACTCAAAACAACGTTAAAAATATAGAACTTATAAAAAAAATTATAAACAAGTAATTTTTAGCAAAAAAAACTACTTAAAAAATATATATATATATATCTATATATTTCATGATTCAATGAACGGATCTAAACCACATTAGGAGGGGACCTCCTTGAGACACTACCTTTCCGTTGCAAAAAGAATTATAAATCGGTTGACGTGGTACAAAGTTATGCGGTAACATATATACATAAAAAAAAAATTAAATAAAAATAAAAAATATTCCGACGAACTGATAACCTCCTCCTTTTTTGGAAGTCGGTTAAAAAGTAAATGCGATAGGAATTGCATTTGTTCTATAACAGTAAATAACGTTGTTTTTCTCTTAATCAAATTTAAGGAATTTTGTTTGGCATCTTTTTTCATTCAGCCTATTTCGTTGATTTTATTAGCTTATTTTAAGCACCTAAATCTTGAATTTTAGCGCTTATTTTTATTTTCTCCAATAATGACAGTGATGACGTGGAATTGAATCGAAAGCTTTAGAAGCAAACTCGGCAGAGATCACTTGTATTCGCTTAACCAAATTGGAATCAAGGGCAAATTTGACGGCAGTTCCAAGAATATTACTATTTCCTGCATACCCCTATCGAGCCCTGAAATTTACGAAAGTAAAACAAAATTGATAAACTGTGGAAACTATGAGAGCTATGCGATTGGTGTACCCCTCCAGGCTGTTGGAATAGGAAATCAAATCGAAGCCGGCGTTTGCTATGACCTCAATAAGTCTTCACTAAAGTTTGTCACGTTTGTAGCACATCTAACTAGTGACGCCGAAGTCGTTGATGAGGTGAATATTTCGTGTACCGTAATATATCGTTGACATAAATACATAAAATGCGATGAGCTGATCCAATATCCTTTTTATTATATTATATTCAACAGCGCAAAGCCACAAATGAACTAACCGTAACACTGGATGAAAAGGTTGCCAGCTTGGAAAACTATTATAAATTCATGAGGTATGTATGTATCTATGCATGTGTGTAGGTGAGTATGAAAGTTAAGGTTTTAAAATCTTTTTTCTGTGGAGAAAACTCTTCAACATACACATCAAAACTAAGAGTGTGTAGCAGACTTGCTTACGAACTTCAACCACGACCTTTTTCATTTTCGGAATAGAAGAATAACCGTGATAAAGTTTAGGTTAAGATCTAACTAACCAAAATAGTTAAATTCAGTAATATATTATAAGGGAAAATGATTTCTTGGGATATGCTCGATTTTTAATCATTTATCAGTTAATCATTCGAAGTACATACAACAAGGCTGCTCAGGATCTTGTGCGTATGATCAAGCATTTGCATATTTCGGTTGGCCATCAGCAACCCAACTGAGTATCGCGTTGATATCCATAATAGACCGATGATTTTATTCCTAAGAAGCCAAAAAATATGTAGAGCTTCTGTATGTAATATCCATAACTTTAGTTGTAACTTTATACCAAGGCACATTAAACAGGTAGTATCAGTAGAGCAAAAACAACATTTGCGTGTATTTTGTTGTTGCTTCTGGTATCGAAAGTGTCAACAACTGTTCTGAATTTTTTCTTCTAAATCAAAGCGTGCTATGCGAAATACAAAAAATTATAAAAAATAACAAATTGAAATTGGAAAAAATAAAAATTGATGCAACTTTCTTTCCTAGTAAATTTGTTTGCTTCTCGAAACATTGATCCATCCTTTGCAAGGCCCAGTAATCAGCGGTCGTGCTGCCGAGTTGGGCGAACGTTCCAAAAGCTGCTATTCAATGGCTTGTTTTGTATGGAAAAAGGTTTCACAAGCAAATGGATTTTAACAACTTATAATTTTCGTGAGAAAAAATTAAAAATATTTGACATTTTCGAGACCAAATAATTTGAAAATAAATCAAATCAGCTGCTCTACTGATACTACCTGTTCAATGTACCTTGCTTTATACAAATAATTTACGTGACAAAATATATGTATATATAAAATTTTTAAATTATTTTTTTCTAGTCAGGAAGCTTTTGATGCAGCCAGAGATGCTCCGGATAGATGCCAAAATCCACTCATCAATGCCTTCAAATTTGATTTTGCCAGCTTATTACAAAACGGTCCATCGAATACCGACCTAAATGACTACGCCTACTTATTTAACATTATGTGGTGGCGTCAACTACGGCAACAAAACTGGCGTTACTTCCTTGATGCTCTGCGAGAGCGTACACGATCCGATAAGTATCTCGTTTATATGGGCACCTATGGCAATGCCAGCCTCCCATCGGTGCATCGCAATTACGGTTCATTCAAACTCGATATTGTGTCTGTTAGCACAGAAAATTTGACTGTCAATGCGCCAGCGTATATTTGGGCCTACTTGAAGCCCTTAACACACGCCGATGAGGAAGAGGACTTCGTTGTTATTGCACATAATTCACCATATGTAAGTACAACGTACTGTAGGTTTAGGTTAGGTTAAGGTGGGAGCCCCGAATAGACATTGATTAAATTTTCCATTGTGTTACAACATTGTAGAATTTCGCAGGCAGCTGTTTTTCGCTACAGAGAGTTCCTCAGAAGTGTTGATTAAATAGCTGAGCTGAGGGCAACTGAAAGGGAAGTGCTGAGATGATTCTTTTTTGGCCTCAAGAAGCTGACGCTTAGCGGCCACCAACCAGCCAGAAAGACCTTGCAGCTCTGAAGGTCGGGGGTTTTCCCTGCGCTCTCTGAGCCGTCTGTGAGGAATAGTCTACAAGCTGCCAAAGTAATTCCTAGCCAGTTATCAGTCCCGTAATTTTCCGATATGCCAATTTGTCCATCGATCCAAATCAAATTGATTTTTTAATGCTCCGAGGCGATCGGGACAGAGGTCAGGAATTCCCCGACCAATTTTAATTGTACCATGCGCCTCTTTTATAGCGGCCACCCCTGCCTGAAAGATGCTGCGAAAACCGACAATCGAACATGAGAGAGAATACACCTTCTCCAACTCTGCCATCCAGCTTCGATCCCTACGCGAAGATATTTATTGTACCTCTACTCGGCACCCGCTGTAGCCGACTGGTTAGAGGTGCATACTGCCACTCCGTAGGGCCAAGGTTGCCATTTAATACCTAGTGGAAATCCAGCATTAGAAAAAGGTTTTTTTTTCTAAGCAGCGATAGCCCCTCTGCCTTATAAAGCTTCTCCATCCATTTGCCGTTCGAAGGCGGTGTAGGTCTGTTGGTCCCTCCAGCTTTAGCTTCCTAAGAAGAATATACTTTTGTTGTGAAACAATGACCCCTTATAACATACTTGGTTTGATGATGGTTTCATATAAATAGGTAATATATCTTTTGGATAATATATCGCTTTTGGAGAGAGGCCCCTTCTCTTTCCATTGCATTTTTACAGCAGTAAGAGCCACTGGTGCCTTTTTTTACTCGCTCATCAATATTTGGCTTTTAAGACAATATTCCGTCAAGGATCACGTCCAATAACTTTACCCTGTCATAGAGCATAAGCGAAACGCCCGCTATCGAGGGAAACTGGGTATAAATAGTGCAAGCTCCGTCATTCCAGGATTAATAGCCAGAACGCAGCTGGCAGACCAATGCGTGACCTAGTTTAGGCAATACCCCTACATAATTTCCTTTCCACATCCTCCACGACGATATACAGAAAGGGTGAACGAACATCTTCTTGCAGTGTACCGTGTTTACGCTGGATAAAGACGTTGTCTCACTAAAACTCGCTATAGTTAACATCTAATGAAAATTAAAAAAAAAAAACATTAAAACTTCTACTTTTTTGTTCTAACTTTGCAGGTAATGAATCCAGGACATACCGAATTCTGCAGCGTTGATATGTGCGACAAAGTTGAGTGGTTGAAAACTAGCACTTTTGGTAATCTTCGACGCTTGCCAACACTAGGTTATACCTTCTGTTGCCGTCCGGAGGAGGTGGCAGAGATCATTGAATACTTTCCAATGGCAGCCGAGAAGAACGAAAGTACTCAGACTACAGAACTTCATTTAACAACAGAAAAAGAAATTTGAGATTCGTACTCACAAAACTTATTATTTCTTAAAATAGTATAAGTATCCTTCTTTTTGAAAGTCATATACAAACTTAAAATTGGTTAAAATATAACCGAGCTAAAAGTTATTTAGTGCCGGAAGTCATGCGAAAATGGTTTTTTAAGAATAAGTTGAGAATTTCAAGGTTTTAGAAAAATTTTAAGCGCAGTTTCGTGAACTAATTGACCAGCCCTAGGACCTGTACTAGGTCAATTAAACAGTTCATGATCAGTGTAACATCATGTAATAGAATCACTCAAAATATTTTTGCATTAATCGTTTAAAACAAGTTCAGAATCTACAAACTCAAGATATCCAAATTCATCTTTGGATAACTCATAAAATAGCTATTAAAATTCATTTCAAGTGAATGAAGTTCCGCTGATAGAATTCATATGAACGGCTTTATTACCTTCCTTTTATTAGTTCGGGATGTAACTATGTAATATTGATGCGCCTAAAAGATGCAGCGATTTCTATTCCCAAGTTATATACTTGATGACAGTACGAATGGCNCAAACTCAAGATATCCAAATTCATTTTTGGATAACTCATAAAATAGCTATTAAAATTCATTTCAAGTGAATGAAGTTCCGCTGATAGAATTCATATGAACGGCTTTATTACCTTCCTTTTATTAGTTCGGGATGTAACTATGTAATATTGATGCGCCTAAAAGATGCAGCGATTTCTATTCCCAAGTTATATACTTGATGACAGTACGAATGGCAATTATAATAGGGAGGTTTTAGTTTTTGAAACTATAATTTTTTTTACCACAGAGTATGGCAGCTTTTTCTTATTTATCAATAACCAAATTTTATTGCTTGGTATGGAATGACAAAAGTCCCATTTTTCGTCAGAAAATCCCATTCCCCCTTTGGTCATAAAATCCCATTCCCCCTTTTTGGTCATAAAATCCCGAAAAAAGGGCGAAATCCCGCAAACTGGCAACACTGCCTTTTACTCAGCACGCGCCTATACAAAATGTTTAGAAAGCTTAAAAGAGATTCGCGCGCGGGCAAGGCAGCGCCCATTACCGAAATATACATATCATCGTTTAAAGTACAAAACTGTGTAACTTACATTTGCTGCCAAAAATTTGAATTTCTCACACAGGCTCTTGACTCAGTCTTTAGACTATGTTCAAACAGGCCAATTAGCTGAGGCAGTTAAACTTTAAATTGCGGCATTGAGTTTGGTGTTCACACAAACGTCAGCTTTTTTATAGCCAAAATTTGTTTAATGTGAGTGCAGAAGTTGACATGGTATCTATGGGAACTGTTATCCTCCTATTTTCTTTATATAGAAATACACAGGGAACGGATTTTTAGGACCTAAAAACCTATAAAAAAGGCAAAATAAAATAACTAAATAGGCTGGAAAAGGCAAAATAAAATAGTGAAAAAGGCAGGAAAAGGCACTAAAAAAAGACAGAAAATACGAAGAACAATCAAAAAGTACATTTATTTTTAGAAATGTTTATATTACAAGTAAAAAGAGAAAAACTATGAACTAGTTTCATTATATGAAAAATTTGTACTTGGAATCTTTGACTATTTTATCCTTTCGAGTTTCTAACTCATAAAACTTTAATCTGTATAGTTCTAGTAACACTGAACCACAAGATGCATTTTGAAGTTTTCTAGCAGCATTTTCATTCGATTTTCGCTCGACGTAAGTTGATACAAGCGCCGCCCAATTTAAACATGGAACGTTTGAAACGTTCATATTATCAGGAATAAGGGCGTTTTCCTCGCCCTTTACAATTTTATCCACACCCCTTATTGTCTCCAAGCCTTCGTTAGCTGAGAAAACGGCTTTGAATTTTTCCAACACCAATTTGGCAAGAGGTCTCTGCGCTTCTATAAGCCGCATGGGCAATGTGTATATTTTTTAATCTTAAAAAAAAATGTAAATGCTATAATCATTTTTTTAAAGGTAGAAAAGGCAAAAAAACGCAAATATCTTAAAAAAGGCGAAAAAAAAGGCAAATATCTTAAAAAAGGCAAAAAAAAGGCAAATATCTTAAAAAAGGCAAAAAAAGGCAACATCAAATGCGTATATATGGAATCAGGGAAAGCTAAATCGTGGACATTCTTAATCGAATATGCTCTATCTCGTTAGCAGAAAAAAAGGCAATTTCCATAAAATCCGTTCCCTGGAAATACACATTTACTTTTTAGGTACATCAATCTACTTTTAGGTAAAGTTTTCCGTAAATTAGGTACAATTTCATAATTAAATTTTCCATCCTTGATGGAATATCGGTTATTGCTCTTTGTTCAATAAACATACCTGACACAAACTAGTTGCCAATTAGTTATTAATTAGCAATTAATAATTTGAATTTTTGTATGATAAATTGGGTAACGATTAAAGCTTAAATTGGTGAAAAGGTTCTTAATTGCCAGTTAGGTGCCTGTGTGAACAAAGTCTTATCCATTCGGCCGGAAATATACTAGCCAGAAATGCGATTGCTTTATAAAAAAGAACCTATTTGAAATATGAGTGTTTTTACTCTCTACAAAATAATTTATGCAACCTCACATACGCGGTTTTGCATTATATCGATACGCGGTTTTGCATTTTGTTGATACGCAGTTTTGTACCTTAAGCGACGATATGTATGTACATACATAAATATGTATGCACATTTGTCAAACGTTAGTCAAAAATTCGTTCATCAATAAATTAAATTAAAAAAGTATGTATGTACCTGTATGTAATTAAATGTATGGTAATAAGTATGTTTGAGTGACACTCACCTTTAAACACAAAACAGTTGAATGCGTAATACACTTTTTCGTTTTAAAACTGCAGTAGGCACATACATACAGACACCTGCTTATGCGCATCATGATGCCAGCGCAAAAGGCGAATTAAGCGCAACACATCACTAATGCTTTTTGCAAACAAGCGAAATATAGGAGCTTTTGCAGCATTTGCCGCTAAATGGCGCGCGCTGCTGCTGCGTCGCAAGCCTCACAACAACAAAGCACATAGTGATTGCGGCCATTTTTTCATGCCATGCACTTGGCAGAGATTTGCCAAATATTTTCAAACACTCTTGTATCACTCATTTTCTTATTTTACACTTTCAATTTTACTCTACACACATGCATTAGCATACAAGCTATTGAAATAACATTAATTTTAATAAATTTCACTAATTTTTACCACTTTTTCACTGATTTAAACCGGTCGCGCACCGAGTAAAAATTTTTCGTAACGACGCAAGAGCTCTCAAATTATGACTGAGGTAGTTCCGGCTCCTTCGCTCTGCCGGGAAAAACTTACGTTGGTATGTGTCATTGGAAATGTATGCATAGGTACGAGTGCATGTACAAATTTACACCTGTGCATGTGCTTTTGTGTGGGAGGAAGAATGCGTAAATTGCATGTTATGAATTATGATAGAAGGACGCTCATTTGACTTCGCGTTGGTATGTGCATACATACATACATACATATATGGAAATATTCATACATATGTATTTGGCGAATGACTAACTCCGAGCTTGCATTTTTTTTAGTAGAATTTAATGTGCTGCAAAATGGCATACTAAAAAAATTAAAAAATATATATCTGCTTAAAAAGTTCAAAATTTGCTAAATTTTCGCGCGTTTTGCATAAAATTTGGGAATTATGTTTTTATGTTTTTTTTTGTACAAAAAACCAAAGAAGTACTGTACGTCATGCGGACTGCGCCCCTCGTGTCGGTTGGGCGGGAATGGAGGGTAAAAAACCGTTGGGATTAATTAATAAAATGACTAATTAAAAATAATGAGCTTTTATACAAAATTGACGGGAAATTTTAGAATAAAAAGTATTGCATATATTGTGAAAAATTTGCTGTTCCAATACTTTGTTCCGGCAGTGTATTTATAAAATGTTTAAATTTTTTTCTAATCAAGAAACTTTTGATGCAGCCAGAGATACTCCGGACAGATGCCAAAATCCACTCCTCAATCCCTTCTAATTTGATTTTAACAGCTTACTACAAGTCGGTCCACCGAATACCGACCTAAACAACTAAGTACGCCTACTTATTCAACATAATGTGGTGGCATAAAACACAGCGGGTGGCTCTGCAGCGTGCATGCCACTAGTCAACATTTAAATTTTAGTGGCATTCTTTGAAGAATTAATTTTAAAAGGCAATAACAGTGCAGAATTCAGGTTTTGAAAATTCGACAAGTTTTTATTTCGTGTTAATTAGAAAAAAAAGAAAAAAATATTTTGTTATTTACATACTTATGTATAATGCTATTTAATATTTCATATGCTAAATTTAATTAAATTTCGCTTGAGTTGAATGTTTGTATGTTTATTATATTACAATTGCTTACCTACATGTGTGTACATATGTATTGATGTATGTACTTAGCTACATACATACAAATCTATGTAAATACGAACTTCGTAGGTATTTTTCGCTTACATACATACCAACTATCAGATTTTATATGCATTTTTATAAATATATTCGAACTTAAAGCTATAGAAGAATCTCACAATTTCTGTTAAATGCAAGCATTTGTTCGTTACTTAAAAATACGCCCGGGCGTACGTCTATAAATATGTATATCCTTATCGATTTTTAATTTGCGAAAAAGTTAAGTTAACAGTAATTTTCGTAAAGAAAAAATTTTTTTTGAAAGTTGGGTGCTAATATTTACAGGCGGGAGAAAAATGCATAGGCAACAAGAATCTATGCAACTGTTGGTGGTAAATTTCAAACTACAATTTCATGTATATAAATGCCACAGTTCAAGTTTCACTGTCAGCTGCCTTGATGTCAAAGAATTCAATAATTCAAATGGACTAGGTTGAATAACAAATTACACTATATAAAATCGCGCACAAAATTAATACCATATTATACAACTAAATTTCGCACTTATGAGTATTGTTAAAGAGAATTGCGGTTTTAAATAAAAGCTATATGAAGTAATTATTATTATTTCTTAATATCTACATTCACAAAACACCTTTCTATGCCTATACATACACAAAAACGGCATTTGAATTATATTTAGTTCATGCATTTTCTTGTTTAGACGTGTGCGCATTTGAAAACTGTGCGGTTAGTGCTTATATATGTATATACTTATTTGTAGAGATAACTTTAAATTAAATACACCGATAACAATATAAAAAATACATATGAAAGGGGCTATTGCTGAATCCATTATAGTCCGTTTTTTTTTTTAAATTTTCGTGAAATCTGCGAAAATGTTGTCACTGAAACGGAATACTTAGCTACGAAAGTAGAAAGGCCCCAAAAGCAAAAAATTAAACCCGCAACGCATTCGCTTCTGTGTGTAGGGTTTTATAAAAAATTGTCATAAAATCTTTGGGTTTTAAGTTACAGCTCTAAAATTTTTGAGGAAGATGTATTTTAGTGAATCTAAAAATTATTACTTAGGGCCTTTCTCCGTTTTAAAAACGATATGTGTACATATGTAGTATGTATATGTTTGTGTTTGATTTTTTGAAGAAAACCGAAGTAGGATAGATTCAGCAAAGACTCCGAACATTTCACAGTTATTCATACGAATTCGTCAGCAGCTTCGTCAGCTGCTTAAATAGCTGTCATTTGTTTAATAGAGAAACAAAAAAAACAAAAAACACTCTAATCGAGTACTAAATAATATACAACGTTTTCGCCTTAATTTCTAGCTACACACTTTTTACTTATGTATGTACATATGTAGTATGTATGCAAGTCTAGCTGCCTGGCGTTGATATGCTATTTTATAAGCTCGAAAAACACCAGCATCATTATTTTTTTATTACTCTATAAGTATTTACATTATGTTCTTCTTTAATATCCGCACGCAACGTTTAGAAAATAATCCTATTTTTTTATCCTATAATTTATCATTTTATCATCATTGACTTTTTCTATCGTGATAATGGCGTTTTTCACTTGGAAAATTAATAAATACATAAAAATTGTTTACGCTATCAGTCCTTTACAAGTATGTGTGTTTGTTTGTATGTATTTGAGTGTGCTAATCGGTATAAATATCAGTGTATGCGGATATGTGCTAAGTATTTGCTTTAGTTACTATTTGGATTCAAAAAAGCTGTCTGCTTCTTTGAAAATAAAAAGCTCCCACATTAGCACACTTCGTTTGTAGTCAATCATCAAAGAATATCCGGCGTAGTTGTGTCGTCGTGTGAGTGTTGCAGCAAGCCTTTGCGTTCATCGGGTGCCGTACTTAAAACATTTTCGGCCACTGCTACAGGTTCAACAATGGCATCTGCATACATGGACTCGTACACGGGATTCGCGAAATTGCCCTGGAGAAAGTGGAGAAAAAAAGGTCGTTAAAAAAAAACTATGAAATATTTTAAACTTTGTGTTTTTCGTTCCACTACCTTATCGTCCTCATGCACGAAGGCTGGTGTTTCATCCGCATCGCCGCGGTACATCGGATTTGTGAGCATAATTTCAACATTGTCGGTCAGACGCGCATGTGAAAATGGCTGCGATATGCGATGTTTCCTGTTAGAGATAAAGCATAAAAACTGGTTTTAAAAAAGGTTTATATCAATCGCTTTATGGGTATAAATAAGTACAATGTGAAAAGTGTTTAATGTAGTACATCAAAATGGTCGGCGTACTGCCTTGCTCCTCTACATTCATTCAAAATTAATGTATCTGGGCCAGACTACACCGTGAAACTTATTTTGATTCATTGCTTGTCACTTTATTATCTTTTTATTATCTTTATTATTATTTATTATGTGCAGGGATTTGTAAAACGCTTTTATCTCTATGATGAGTCGTTATCCCTTAATCGAAGAACGAGTAAAATAGAATGATTTTGAGAGAGAAAATGACGTTCTCTCTTTCGCAGAAGTTATCATTCCGAAGATTTCAAAAGTTACAGTTGCGTTGCAACAAAGCAAGAACTTCTCAAAGTTTCTCTATTTCAGATTTTCAATGCCAAATCAGGCAGCGAACACCAGTAGTCAGCCCATCAGAAGCACATACATACATACATATGTATGTACATACATAATTTACATCATTTCTACTTACTTTAGGAAATATATCGCTCCTCCGAAGAGTGTCAATAACAGTATGGCAATCGCCAGCATCACCGCCAATATGGAGAGCACATTCGCAGTATGCTCTTGCCCTTGTTGTCGCTCAATGTTCACATTATCCGCGCTGTCAGCCAAGCAAGGTGTTATCTTGCCACTAGAACAACTGCAAGCGTTAAAGCAAATGAATATTAGTAGTACACATGCATAGCCCATGGCCCCAGCCAGCACAACAACCATTTTCCCCCTCAACTTACACACATTCATTGATCGAACTGCCCGTGCGGCAAACACCACAACTGCTGACACATTTCGGTGGCATGTTGCATGCGTCACCCTCCCATTCGCCAATGCAACTGCAATGTGGCACCGTATACGCATCCAAATGGCAGACACCGCTATTCTTGCAATAGCCAATGCACGGATTGTCCTCGTCAACTGGCCGCTGTAATGATTTGAAAAATGAAAGTGAGCACATCTTGTGTACGCGAGTGGCGGTGTATATGTTTTACCTCACAGAATTCACCATTCCATTGATCAGTGCAGTTGCACATGGCCATGCCTTTGATGACATGACACGTTCCGCTGTTCTGGCAAATGATGCCGGTGCATGGATTGCGTGAGGGCAGCTCGGATTCATCACAAACTGAAAGAGAGCAAGCTATACGACCCAACATTCTAATCGAGAGTTGACAGTACTTACAGTGCGGCGGTATCGCCGTTTTGCACAAATCAGTTTCGCAGCGCTCACCTTCGAAGCGCTCGCTGCAACTGCATATCAAGTGTTGAGCGCGTTCTGTGCATATGCCCCCATTTAGGCAGTATGTCTGACAGGAGTCGGATTCGCATTGCTCACCATAATAGCCAGCAGGACACTGACATTGTGGGCCGCCCTTGGTGCCAATGCTACAGATTCCCTCATTCTTGCAGAACCCGTCGCAGACATTCACCTCGCAGCGTTTGCCAGTAAAGCTGTCGAATGATGTACATACATACAAACATATGTCAATTGAATATATTTTATTTTTACATTTCACGCATGCGCACTTACCCATCCGGACATTCGCACTGTGTGGTGCCCGTCAGAGTTTCGCGACAGATGCCACCGTTGGCGCATGTCAAATTCACGCANACCCTCATTCTTGCAGAACCCGTCGCAGACATTCACCTCGCAGCGTTTGCCAGTAAAGCTATCGAATGATGTACATACATACAAACATATGTCAATTAAATATATTTCACTTTTACATTTCACGCATGCGCACTTACCCATCCGGACATTCGCACTGTGTGGTGCCTGTCAGAGTTTCGCGACAGATGCCACCGTTGGCGCATGTCAAATTCACGCAGTGCTCACACTGCTCGCCGACATACAACTCCGGACAGGTGCACTTCATGCCCTCTTCTGTGATCAGGCACGATCCACCATTATGACAGCGACTCTGACATTCTGGTACTGAGGTCTCACAACGCGGACCAGACCAGCCGGGCGTGCAGCTACATTTCAGCGGTGGCGGCTCAGAGGAACCCGGCAGTTGGGGTGCCACGGTACAGAGGCCATAGTTTAGACAGTAGCCGGAACAACGTGAGTGCTCACAAAGTTCACCCTCGAACTGCGGCTGGCAGATGCATTTCGGCACATGATCGATCACTTTGCATGTGCCCAGATTGCATTTCAGCGGACAGTAGTCGGGTACCTCGGTGTGCGCCTTACACTCATCGTCGACCATGATAAGATCGTTGGAACATTTACAGGCGAAGCCATTGCGCGCCTCGGAGGAGAGAATGCAGAGCGCGCGTTTTATTTTGCAAGGCTCTTTTGCGCAAGGATTTGTGACTGAAAAGAAAATTCAAAGTTACTAAAACTGCTGGCTTCCGATTTTGCGTGGATGATTTAAAATTTTATGCCTGAATTATGTAAATAAGTGCCCTCTATTCATACTCACTATTGCGATTCTGTTTTAGTGGATGCAATATTCCGATATCAGATGAACGATACCCCTTCAGCAGATATGTGCCGTTATCCACACCAAATTTGTTCATTTTTATTATGCTTTGGTCGTACAATTTTATGTACAGATAATCTTCAAATACGTCAATTTTCTGCGGCTTCTCTGTTGATAAATGAATTTTTCAGAAACAGTAACTCCGCATGTATTTTTACTTTCCTTACCCTTATTCGAAAAACGTCGAACGACGNGTATGCCTGAATTATGTAAATAAGTGCCCTCTATTCATACTCACTATTGCGATTCTGTTTCAGTGGATGCAATATTCCGATATCAGATGAACGATACCCCTTCAGCAGATATGTGCCGTTATCCACACCAAATTTGTTCATTTTTATTATACTTTGGTCGTACAATTTTATGTACAGATAATCTTCAAATACGTCAATTTTCTGCGGCTTCTCTGTTGATAAATGAATTTTTCAGAAACTGTAACTGCGCATGTATTTTTACTTTCCTTACCCTTATTCGAAAAACGTCGAACGACGTTGCGGTCTTTGCCATTTAGGCGACACGTCTCGATAGTGCCTTTACGGTAGTCAGCCCAGTATAAGCGGCCAGTCGGATAGTCAATCGACAAGCTTATGGGCCAGCCAACGTCTCGTTCGACTAAGCTTTTCTTATTGGTACCATCGAGCGACGCAACCAAAATACCATTTTCTAATGTGGACCAAATCATAATACGCGATTCCGGCTCGAGCACAATATCGGTCGGATTCATACCGGTCGACGCTAATGAAACGTACTTCTTGCCGTCAATATCCGTTGCAATGATCTGATTGTGACGCGAATCGATTATGTACACCATTTGCGTAATCCAGTCCACAGCCAGAGATTTGGGATCATTCAAATCGGGTATCTACATAAGTAAAAGTAAAATTTTTTAGATTATGTTATTTAATAAATAACCCGTAATGCTCACATTAAAAGCGGTTAGCTCTTTTAAATCTCTGCGCATGCGCGTTCCCGTCTCGGCGTGTGGTGTGGCGATTTTCATTGTATGCACTTTGCCATGGTGCGAATCGATCCAGAAGAGGAGTGTGTCCTTGGGTCTAATGAGAATGTCGAATACATCGATTTTCAGGCTATCCGTTTGAAAGAACCCCACTACCGTGGTGCCTTCCTGTTTGGCCGGCAAAATGAAACGAAACTCTTGCTCAGAAGCGAGTAAAAGGATTTGATCGGGGCCTTAAAGTGAAAGAAAAAGAAATGCTTAAAAACAAATAATTTTAAGCTTACATACGTCTTCTTGCATTACCTGCAGCCAAGCATGTGTCGTTCTTTTTCGGTCCCTTCTGATAGCCCTCCGTGCATTTGCAATTGTAGTGCCCGGCTTTCTTTTCTATGCAAATCTGCGAGCATGTGCCGAACCCGCAAACCGGTGGCTGGCAATTCATCTCATCCGAGCCGTCTATGCAATTGTATTGTCCATCGCAGCGGAAGCTCTTCGAAATGCAATCATCATTCTCGCACTGGAACTGGTCGTGTCGACACTTTGGCAGTGCGGCGCATACCTCATCCGATTCATCCTCCTGATTTTCACAGTCGTTCACTCCATCACACAGTGCCGATTTGCGTATACATTTCAAATTGGAACATCTGCAAAATATGAAAGCGATTAGGCGCAAACCCACACACATTTCCCACGCTCACTCACTTGAATGCATTGGCGTGGCAGTGCTCGTGCGCGCATGTGGCGATACTTTCATCACTGCCGTCGGTGCAGTCATCCCAGCCATCGCACTTCCATCGGGACATTATACATTTCCCATTGGCGCAAGTGAAATAGTTCGCTGGGCATGTGCAGTTCACCTCGTCCGAGCCGTCTGGACAGTCATCGTCTCCATCGCATTGATATTGCCTAGATTGCATAAAATGAGTGTTTCTACTCACAAATAACTCAGCTCACTATTCACCCTGGCCACTTACTTGTTTATACACGTATTAAATGCCGCACACTTGAACTGATTCGTCTTGCACGTAATGTTGCAGTTGATCTCGTCGCTGCTGTCGTCACAATGTATCTCGCCATCGCACCGATAGTCGTGTTTGATGCACTTGCCGGTGCCACAACGGAATTCACTCTCCGAACAGTTGCGCATCTGGCAGTTCAGCTCGTCGCTGCCATCGCCGCAGTCGTTCTCATAGTCGCAGCGCCAACGGCCGGGTATGCATTTAGAGTTATTGCACTTGAAGTAGGTAGGATCACAGCTCTCCTTTGAAGAATGGCAGGTCGGTGGCTCATCCTCGCCATTCGGGCAGTCGTTCTCGCCATCACAGCGCCAAGCCATCGGAATGCAGCGCCCAGAATTGCACCTAAGTGAGAAGTTAGTTAATAAACAATCAAAAAGGAGTTGCCTATCGCTAGGAGACTCACTGGAAGTCTTGTGGCTCGCATGTGACCAAGTCACAGCCTTCCTCGTCCGATTTGTCCGGGCAGTCGACGTCCCCATCGCATACCCACACGTAGGGCATACAACGGTTGTTGCCACACTGGAACTGCTCCTTGTTGCAGACGAGTGGCGTGCAGCCAGCCTCGTCCTCTCCGTTCGGACAGTCAGTGACACCATCGCATTTCTTTCCGTTGCTTATGCAAAAGGCGCTTGTGTTTGTCGACGCTTCACATTTCATGTTGTTCTCGAAGCAGGTGAATTTTTCGCAGTTTCGCTCATCCGAATTATCGCCGCAGTTATTGACGTTGTCGCAAATAGCCGAGGGGTAAATGCATTTCTTGTTGTCACATTGGTATTGGCCTGGCTCGCAGTGAAAGGTTGGGCATGTTTCTGGTTCATCGCTGCCATCTCCGCAGTCGTCCTGCGTGTCACACTTCCAGTAGAAGGGAATGCACTTGTATGTGTTGGCGCACTCAAAGTGTGCCGCGGTGCAGTTAGCATGGCAGGACTTTCCGTCCTCGCCTAACACAAAATTATTTGGACAAACGCACTTGTAATAGGGTGCATCCGGTGCAAGCAGACACAGGGTTGAGCAGCCGGCCGTCAAGCAGGGGTTGGGTGTCGTCGGATGCTGCTGTCTGTACGGATGATAGACGCGCAAATCCATCGGTCGGTGAATGATGGTGACAAGTGTTGAACAATTTTGGCCATTGTATTTGTTGCAGTATTCAATGGACTTTGTCTCCCAGTCGGACCAGTAGATCTTATCCTCCCATACGGCGATTGCGAAAATGTGGTGCAAGTTTAGCTGCGGGTTGATACTGCGCGCCAGCAAAAGACGAATATTTTTACCATCTAAATCGGATACGGAAATAGTGTCTTCGCGCGCATCGCCCCAAAACAGTTCGTTGGTTTCGAAGGAAATGGTAAGCGCATTTGGCCAACCCAAGTTATCTCTTATGATCACATGCGGATCGGAGCCATCCATGCCGGCTTTCCCAATGTGTGGGTTGTCTCCCCAATCCGACCAGAAGATATGCCGATTGAAGGGGTCCAATGCAACACCACGGGGTTCTCGCAAATTCTCGTTGATTAGCACACGTCGATATTTACCGTCTAGCTTGGAGACCTCAATTGTGTCCAAACCTTTGTCACACCAATACAGATTTTTGGCCACCCAGTCAACGGCCAAGCCATCGGGGTTCTTCACCATCGCTTGATGCAATGTGGTTGTTTTATTTTCGGCGGGACAGTAACGCTTTATCATACCAACCGTAGACGTCACATCCGACCAGTAAAGGCACTTGGTTTCCCAATCGAAGTCCAAGGCCACAACGTTCGACAGCTGGTGGATGAGTATGGATCCGTTGCCGCGCATGTCCACCTGTCGTATGTAGTAGCGGTTAGCAAAAATGAACTTCACAGTCTCATTGCTTGTTGCTTTGCAAGTATTGTGGTCCACCAACTCATAGCCCTTGCCGCAAAGGCACTTGTAAGATCCGTATGTATTGACGCAGATCTGCGAACAGGGATGCTGCTCATGGCACTCGTCCACGTCGTCGCATAAGTGATGATTGGAAGCAAGCAATTTGTATCCCGGATTGCACTGGCACTCGAAGCCGATGACCTTATCCACACAGGTGTGCTCGCACAGATCCGGTATAACACACTCGTTCACATTGCAGAGCTCTTCATCTGTGAAGTCCGCACAATCGTTACGCCCATCGCAGAGCAAATCTGTGGAGATGCAAGCGCCATTTTTGCACCGGAAATCACCAGGCCCCTGGCACAAGTTGTGAGAGTGTGCGCAAAGTTGTGCATCTTCATCGGAGCCGTCCACACAGTCAGGTTTGGTATCGCATGTGAGATTCTTTGAAATGCATTGCATGTCGTGGCATTGGAACTCAGTATCGCCATCGCAAACTTGCGCTTGTGGAAAAGGTTCGCAATTTTCATACTCATCATCGCCGTCCGGACAATCGTGGTCGCCGTCGCAAACATAGCGCCGATCCAGACATACGCCATTCGAACAAAGGAAAGACGGTGGCAAACACTCCAGCTCATGCGCCACCGATCCTGCTGCACAATGCTTGCCCTCGTCCTCGCTCCCGGGTGCCGGGCAGTCATGCTCACCATCGCACACCCATTTCTGCGGTATGCAACGTCCTGAAGATTTACACTGGAAAAAGTGTGGTCGACAAACTCTATTTGGGCACTGTGTTCCCTCATCTGAACCGTCGTCGCAGTCGGGCTTGCCATCACACTGCCAACTACTTGGTATACAGCTATTGCCGCAGTGGAACTCATTCTTGCGACATTGCACACGGCAACCCACTTCATCGGCACTCAACGCACCCACCACGTCTTTGCAGTCATTCTCGCCATCGCACCGCCATTTCTCATTTATACAACGTCCATTGGGGCATTGGAAATGACCAGGTCCACAGGCGACTTTATGCACGCTTTCGCAATTCGTTTCGTCACTGCCGTCCGGACAATCATTGTCTCCGTCACAACGCCAAGACGGCATGAAGCAAGCGGTAGAGTTGGCACAGTGTTCGAACAGAACATCTCCGCTGGGGCATTCTCGAGGCGAACAGTGCTTCTCGTCGCTGAAGTCCTTGCAGTCGCGCACATTATCACAAACGAACTGCTTGGAAATACACTCGCCGCTGTTGCAACGAAACTTGTCGGGCTCGCATTTGCATACCAACTCCGACTCGTCGGAGCCATCGCCACATTGATGTATGCCATCACATGTTCGATTCTGAGGTATGCAACGGTGGTTGTTGCACATGAAGAAGTTCACCGGACACTCGCGTATAATGCAGTAGCTACGCAGCTCATCGGAGCCGTCGAGGCAATGAGTGATGTTGTCGCACGTCAACTCGAATGGAATGCATTCGCCAGAGACACAAGAGAATTGCTCTTTTCCACAGCTCGTATTAGGCAACAATAGACAGCGGCGTCCGTCTGGCGCCAGTGTGCCCCTCGTGCACTGACAACTCGCAGTGCCGTTTTTGCTCAGGATACAAACATCCTCACAGCCGCCATTCAAGATCTTGCATTGGTTCGAGTCACAATTGATGGTGGTGTTCTGGACGGCGATGATACCCATTGGTCGATCGATGTTCTCGCGCAAAAACACCACATCCGCACCTGAGTACTTGCTCGCCCGCACCACAGCGTGCAGTACCCAATCAGTCCAGAAGAGTAAATCGCCATAAACGGCCATCGAAAAGGCGTGCTTCGGTGTAGAATGCGCCAGCACAGTGCGATGCGTGCCATCGTAGTTGGCCCGTTCGATTTTGTCAAGACGCGCGTCCGCCCAGTACAGTTTATGTTCTTCGAAGTCCAGAGTCAGTGCATTAGGCATTTTTACGTCCGTACGTATTATGGACTCGACGCCATAACCGGTTACATAAGCGCGCTGTATAGACGGCGTCTCCTCGTTCCAATTCGTCCAATATATCATGCCCATGCAGGGTTCTACTGCGATTCCGCGTGGCTTATCATTCGAGTTAAGCATCAAAAGGCTCTTTACGAACTGAGTATTGTTATCGGCGTTCTCCGAAACATACTGAAGCTCCAAGCTACGTATAGACGCATCGTTATTCGAGGTCCAAAACAGCATCTTATTCACAATGTCGTACGTGAGACCCTCAACACGTCCCTGATGGTTGACAAGCACCTGATTACGACTACCGTTAAATTGCACCGAATTGATTGTGCTCATCTGTACATCGGAGTAGAATATAATACTATTCTCGTAATCGTAACTCAACGCGATTACATTCCTCATGAAAGTCGTATTGTGTACCGCATGTATCGGTCCATTTTTGTTCGTATGATCGGTCATATGAATACTTTCGATGGTGCTGCGATAAGAGAAAAGTATGAAGTTGTCATATGGCTCGCAGGAACTGCCATCAGCTGCAACCCGACTATGCGAACACGCGCAAATGGCGCTAGTGCCATTGAAGAGGCACAGGTGCTCGCAGCCGCCATTGTTTTCGGTACAAATGTTGATGCCTTTCTGCACTCGATGCGAAAATACTTTCAAATCTTTCAATGAATTACCCTCCGACTTAAGTATTTCCTTATAGTTCGACAAATTGGTAATTGGTGCAACCTTTATGCTGCCCTTATTGTTATTATTGTCCGCCCAGTAGAGGTAGTCGTCGAGTTTGGCCAGCGCCACCGGGTTATCGAGACTGCGATTGAGCAGCGGAGTCTTCAAGTTGCCGTCGTAGTCCACCTTCATGATGCTGTTAGCACCGCTGTCACACCAATACACCTTCGTCGCTTCGATGTCCAAAATGAGATTGCTAACGGTGCCCGTCTGATTGACCAGTATAAACGATTGGCTTCCATCTAAACCCGTACGTCCTATTATGCCATTACCCACATAGAATAGCAAGCCCTGCACTGGATCGACTGCCAGCGCTGTGGGTGACTCTACGTTGGAAACTACGACGTGCCGGTGAGCGCCGTCGAGACGTGCAACCTCGATCAGATTGCGTTTCATATCACTCCAGTAAATATTTCCTGCCACCCAGTCGACGGCAATGCCTCCAAGCCAGTCTTGCTGCTTAGGGTCAATTGTGTCCATGGCGGGTAGTATGTCCATGCGCTGTGTGCCATCGCGTTTGATGCGCGAGATGGTGCCGCGCTCATTGTCGCCCCAATATAAGTAGTCGCCGGCGGCGAGATAGTCGATATATGTGGCCAGTGAGATACGTGAGATGGGTCCAAGTGCCTGAGAAGAAAATTTCAAATACATATATATGTACATGTGTTTGAATTTGATTTGCATCAATTGCTCACTTACCGGTCGTTCTTCCAGATTTTCGTCCGGTCTGTTGGCATCATAGAGGTCAATGCCTTTGAGTTCGTGATTAGAGTAGAAAATGAATTCTTCTTTGCCTACGCAGCGAGTAATATTCGTATTGAGTATTTCATACCCAATGGCACAACGACAGACATGTTCCGTGGCTGAGACAGCCAAGCAGAGGTGTTCACAGCCGCCACGCCCCGGGCCGGCGCATGTGTTCGTGCCGGTCTGGGCCTCCGAGTAGAACATCTTCAGCGATTGAATACTCTCTGCAAAAGGAAACAAAAATACGCAGTTTAGCTATTCAAAAAGTGCATTTAATAAGAGAACACACTAGTATTTTTGCGCAGATTGATCAAGTTTTGGCAAGAATCCTTTTCGCAGCTCATAATCACGCTTTGTATGTTTTCCGGAAAGTACAAGGAACCATTGTAGACCGTCACCGAGCTTATAGTCATCACATCACTTGAGGGTAGCGCTTCAACTACGCTTCTGCGCACAATGTCATAATAGGCAATGCCAGAATTGTCGTAGACGTAGTATAAGCGCTGCGAGTCAAAGTCCATCGTTAAGCTCAGCAATGTCTTGTTCTGCTGGAAAACAATGCTACGCGATGATCCATCCAAATTACTCTGCTCAATTAGCCACAGTTTTGAGTCGCGTTCCGAATGTATCCAATACATTTTACCGCTGGAAAGAGCGTATGTTACAAATTTATTTACACGCCGATAGGTTTTCCAGCTAAACTTACTTCGCGGGATCCAAAGCAATACTCTCCACCAGATTGAGGTCTCTGTGTATTTCAGTGACGAACTCCCCTCTCAAATTGCTTGCCAATATTTGGCATTTTGTCTTGCCAGTCGAAAAGTACATGTGCCGCGCTATCCAGTCTATCGCGAAACCATACGGCTTCTGTATGTCCGTGTTTATGATGGTCTCGATGAGTCCATTGGATATACCAGCCGTTTTTATCTCATTTAACTGTATATCTGACCAGTAGATGCGGCTATCGTCTACGGTGAAGTCAATGCGTTGCGGCGCCAGCACCTAAAAAATGATCATAAATGGTTAAAATTATCGACATTTAAGTGTTGGTGCATAGATTACCTGCGGTGATTGCCTTATAGTGGGTATGGTGTGATGGTTGGGTTGCATCAAATCAATGCCACGTATCTCGTCGCCCATTATGAAGAGCAGCACCTGTTCATTGGGCACGCAAGTACGTTGGTCTGTCGGATCCAGACGCATAATATGTGGGCACTCACATTTGTAACCCTTTTTTACGCTAAAACAGCAATAATTATATTCGAAAATAGTCATCGGTCATTTCACTTTTCAACGCTACTTACGTAAGCAAACACAAATGCGAACAGCCGCCATTGTTCTTCCCACATGGATTCTCGGCCTGGGGCTGTCGGCTCGAGTGCAGCACTTGTATGCCAAATGGCTGCGTTTGCGTGCGTTGTATTACCTGTATGTTGGAGCCATTCCATTTGTTGGCCCGTATGACAGACGTAGTTCGCCAGTCTGTCCAGTAAACGTAGTTTTCGAATACGGATATCGCGAAGGGATGCGATAATATGTCCTTATCGCGCACCACTAAATGATGGTCGGAGCCGTCATATTTAATGGTCGATATCGAGTCTGACTTAGCATCCACCCAATACACGCGCTTCTGTGTGTAATCCAGGGTCAGACCGTTTGGCCAACCGGCCGACACCTGCGAAGTGGTCGAGATAGTTCGCCGTTGTTCACCAGCCATGGAGCAGCGCTCGATGCGTGGAAAATTATCATCCCAGTCGGTCCAGAAAAGTAAGCCTTCACGAGGGTCGAGCGCAATAGCGCGCGGACTCTCCATATCGCCGGCAACTAGCGTTCGGCGAAAACTGCCATTCAGCTTGGCCACCTCGATCTGATCCAGATTTGAGTCAACCCAATACAAATTCATGCCGATCCAATCCACCGCCAAGCCCTCCGTAGTCGACAGGCCCGAGTGCACAACCGCCTCCACTTTGCGCAGACTCTCGCCCACCAAATAGCCTCGATATATTTTATCGTCGATCACATCTGTCCAAAAAATCTGCACCGACTCATTGTTGTACAGGAAATCTAAAGCGATCGTGTTGCGCAACGACGTATAAAAGTTACTGACCACAGACTTTTTCAAGTTGACACCACGAATTTCCTGCCGATTGGTAAATATCACATAAGGGTCGTCGGAAGCGGTGCTCTTGCAGCTGAAGCGGTCGTACTCCAGCGCATAGCCTTCGTGGCACTTGCACTCGTACACCTTGCCGACAGTTTTACAAATTTGCGAGCAAGTGTCCCAGTGCTCACAGGCATGCTGCATGCTGCAACGACGCCCATTCGGCTGTAAGTACATGTGCGGCGGGCACGAGCACACAAAACCCTCGGGCGCATTGTGGCAGTAGTGCGAGCACTCATTGGTTTTATCGCACATTTTGTCGGCGCAGAGAAATCCCTCATCGGTCGTGTCCTCGCAGTCAATGTTACCGTCGCACAGTTGGTGTACGTTGATGCACTTATTCGACACCGCACAAAGCCGATCTGGTACCTCACACGAAAGCAATGTCTCATTGAAGTCCACNGTCGCACATTTTGTCGGCACAGAGAAATCCCTCATCGGTCGTGTCCTCGCAGTCAATGTTACCGTCGCACAGTTGGTGTACGTTGATGCACTTATTCGACACCGCGCAAAGCCGATCTGGTACCTCACACGAAAGCAATGTCTCATTGAAGTCCACTTTGGAGGGATGCAGCGTCGTGCAGTTAAGCTCGTCGGATTTATCAAAGCAGTGGGCAATGCCGTCACAGCGCAGAAACTCCGGTATGCACTCGAACGGGTCGTTGCAACCGAATTCAAAGGGCCCACAAACGTGTGCCTCACCCAGATCCACTGGATGGTTATCGCTCTTTGTCTCATTGCAATTAGCTTCATCGCTGGCATCGAAACAGTCATGGACACCGTCGCACATGTGCAGTTCGCCATAACAGCCAATAGGTGCGCAATAATGCTCATCGCGGCCACACTCGAACTCACAACCGCGTTCGTCGGAATTGTCGCTGTAATTTTAAGAAGCAGATGAACGAAATTAATTGAAAGTGAGGGAAATTGTAAGGGGTACAATAAAATACCTTTCTGGCTACTTACCCGCATTGATCTACGCCATCGCACACGTCAGAAAAGGGACGACACTTGCCATTCTTGCAGTCAAATTCTGGACATTTTTCATCAAGCGGATATTCTGCCATCTCGTCCGAAGAGTCATCTGGACCTAAATTGAAATGCATGGAATTTACTCACTTCAATTTTACAAGAATACAAAATATTCATATTTTTATAGGCAATAGAAATGTCAACTCATCAGCTTCGGTGCCATCACTGCGCCTCACTCACCGCAATCGGCCACGCCATCGTTCACCCACGACAATTGGATACATTTGCCACTCTTCGCGCACGCAAACTCGTTGCTGTTGCAGGTATGCGTCTCGCAATTCGTCTGATCGGTGCCATCCTTGCAGTAGGCAATCGAACTGCACAACAAGGCGCGCTGATAGCACCGCTCATTGCAGATGAAATGCAAGCTCAAGTCGCATTTCTTCGTATTGCACGGTCCATTCGGCTCGCTACTCTCATCGCTGCCATCGTTACAGTCGTCAAAGCCATCGCAGACGTCCTTTGCATCCACACACTGGCTGCTTTTGGCGCACTGGAAACCCGAAGTGCAATTGTTCGATGGCTCACTTACCACCACCTGTGCCGTGCACTGCAGGCCATTGCTACTGAGTCGGAAGTTATTTGGACAACGACAGACCGGACCCTGTGGCGTATTCAAGCAGATGCC